CAGCTGGATTGGGTCCTATTTGAACTGGTTCTCTGTCTGGACCATACACCAGCACAGGGGGAAAGAGAATGGATTGTGTCCATGCTGCCACTGTTGCCGATCCCAGCGGTCCATAGAGCATTATGTAAACAACTGGTAGTCGACAGTGCCCCGATATGAAGAGACAGCAACGAAGCAAAGAAGGTAGGGAGGGAGATGGGCCCTCTCTTCTTCCCAGTTATAGAGATGCTTCTTCTGATGTTAGAATGGGGCACCAGCAATGACCAGGAATTCAGGTGGCTAGCTGAGAGTAGCCATGCCAAGACAAAAGGTGAAGTGATGTTCCGACACAGTCGGGTTTTTTTGGAGCATATGGATGCCATCCAAGCCGTGCAACAGGTTTGTTAATGTGCTGAGACACACTGCTGTGTCCCTTCCAAAAAGGCAGCCCAAGAATCCTAGGGTTTTTGGGTTTCCTTTTTGGAAGGCAACCAAAATTAGACCAGTTAGACCCTAAGAGGCGAGAACTTCTGGTATGACAGATTTATTTGATCAGATTTCTCTGTTGGGTTGACAAGTGCCACACATCGAGAATGCAGCTCAGGTGGTTTTATAGTCTTAGGTTTTAAGCCTGGACAGACACACAAACTATTTCATTCACACTTCTCTTCCCCATTGTTCTCATCTGATGCCTTCTTATCAACAATTGACAACAGCAATTCACAACCATTTCCCCCCTTTGCTGCCTTGCAGGTCTTTTGAACTTTCTCTTCTTTCAGCTAACTCTTTCCCTTGTGGCTTTGACTAGAAATTTCCCATCTCCCTCTTTTAGTCTAAACCTGTTCTTGGCTTGGTTATTTTTCATTGTTTTCATTTCTTTTGCCTCAGTCCCATCAAACGTTCATGGGATGATCTCTTCTAGATTCGGCCTAAGGCTGTCACTTTCTGTACGTAAGCCCTGTGTCCACATGACATTTATTTCTCCTTTATATTTTTTCTGTTAACAGAAAACATTTGTTAAAAAAGTTGGCTTGCGCAATCAATTCAAATTGGTTGAGTGGTTGTTCAGAACATTTACACCCAAGTGGAGCCCAACACTGACGATCAAGGACTTGATTTTTGATGACATTCCGGTCAGAGTGTATTGGCCCAAAACAACTCCTTCTGGGAAGAGAAGAGGAGTGGTTCTCATTCCAACAGGTGGTGGAATTATGGGAAATATTGGTAAGTTCTCCAGGAATCAGAGTTCAGGTGGAATATATAGGATTTTTCTATGTACATAGTCATGAAACCCATCAGTAATAATGTCTCTTGAAACATGATGTGTTTTTCAGGGATAAGTGACGCACAATGCCGCTACATTGCCCAGCAAACGGATTCTGTCATTATGTCTGTTGGGTAAGTTACTTCATACTCATTCTGGCTCTATCAGAATGGACCTTCTCACACACAATTCGATGCATTCCTTTCCCAAGAAACTTGACTGAATGTTTCCAAAGAAGTATTCCCTTTCTCAATAACCTATTTTCCTATTGGAGAAGCCAACCAACAAAGGAAGAGGGTGTCTCTCATCCCAAATGGAAGCCTTGTATCAAAATGTTAAGGGAGATGCAGAACGTTCCTTTCCAAAATGTCAATCATGTGGTTGAAAAATTCATATCATGAGTGTACTATTTTATTCACATAATCCACTCAGATACCATGTTTCCCCGCGCAGCCACTGGAAAGCAAAGAAGGAGTGTGAAAGCAGGGAAGGAGGAGGTTAGGGGGAGCCAGGCTTGCGAGGAGGGGTAGGAAGTGTGGTGTGCAAGGGGAGGGGGAGGGAGGGAGGGGAAAAGAGGAGAGAGAAGGCAAAGGGATTGAGTGAGAGAGGGGGAGGGGGAGATCGTACTCCGCACACATGCTGAGGCAGTACATATACTGTATAGTGTCCCTACTTCACGGATTTTCACTTAACATGGATGGTCCTGGAACGTAACACCCGGGATAAGTGAAGGAACACTGTACACAAAAACAATACTGTGCACATCCCTACAGGACATTGGACTTGAATTGTAACAGGAGTTTTTAGAATATTCTGTGCGTAAAATTCAGAGAACATTATCATGTTTGCGGATTCAGACCGTTTCTCATTTCTGCTTCAGGTTTCGTTTGGCTCCAGAGCATCCATTCCCAATCCCAGAGATGGACTGCTGCATAGCTACTAAGCACTTTTTGAAAAATGCAGAGAAATACGGAGTGGACCCAAATCGCATTGTTCTCTATGGTGAATGTGGCGGAGGGACATTTGCTGCAGTCGTGTGTCAATATTTGGCAGTCAGGAAAGATCTCCCAAAGCTAGGAGGCCAGATCCTCGTCTATCCGATGTTGCAATCCATCGATTTCAATTTGCCTTCTTATCAGCAATACCATTCGGTCCCTTTGTTGTTCAAGAAACAGGCCTTGAAGCTTGCTACCCTGCTTCTGACTGGGAAGGAGATCAATGTGGAGGGCATCATGAAGAATGCTCATTTACCCAAACATGTGTGGATGAAATACAGGAAATGGGTCAATCCCGATGACATTCCAGAAAGATTTAAGGGCAGGGGTTACGTGCCCATGGAGCGGCCTCCTTTTAACCAAGAACTTTACGAAACCATAAAAGAATCCCTCGACCCCATGTATTCCCCACTTTTAGCAGAGGATGACGTGATCCGCCGGCTCCCCAAGACTTTCCTTTTAACCTGTGAATACGATATTTTCCGAGATGACGGGCTCTTGTTCAAGAAACGGCTAGAGGACAACGGCGTCCCAGTGACGTGGTATCACCTCGAGGACGAATTCCACGGATCATTGTTTAGGTTTCGTAGTTGGCCAGTGGAATACCCTACACGGAAACTCCATTGCCAGCATATAAATAATTTCATTAGCAGTATATAAAACACATGTTTTATTTTATTGTCGAAGGGTTTCATGGCTGGAATCACTGGGTTGTTTTAGGTTTTTCAGGCTGTATGGCCATTTCCTAGAAGCATTCTCTCCTGACGTTTCACCTGCATCTATGGCAGGCATCCTTTGTGGTTGTGAGGTCTATTGGAAGTTAGCAAAATTGGGTTTATATATCTGTGGAAAGTCCAGGGTGGGAGAAAGAACTCTTGTCTGTTGAAGCTAAGTGTGAACGTTTCAATTGGCCACCTTACAATTGGACATCGAGAAAGGATTCTCCCAGGCAGTAACAAACCACACCTAAAATTGTCAGGCCATCCAATGCTAATCAAGGTGGCCAACTGAAACATTCACACCTCCCTCCAACAGACAAGAGCTCTTTCTCCCACCCTGATGGAAGAGCGTGTTGGTGATGACAAAATTGTGCTTGGTGAGAAGCAGCATGCCATTCGAGTTGCTGTTTCCAACCCCACCTTTTCCTATGGTCCCTGGCCACAGGCCGAAGCTTTGTCCTACTCTTGCATTAAAATCAATTTATCTATGTGTGCGTTTCTATGTGTGTGTGTGTATCTATACACATAATAAAAGTGAAAATATGTATGTGTGTATATGACAGGGGTGCCCACTTCCACAAACCACTGTAGCTTTCACCACTCAGGAGACACCAATGGCCCTCTCTCCAATGATATATTCAGGGACAATCTTCCACTAGATTTTCTGTTTGTTCTCCACTACAGGCACCCCAGTGTTTCTGACTCTCTCCATTGGTGTGGAATATGCCTCTCCCATAACCCTTTCCTACTCTTCTCTATGGCACACAGCAAACAGTGAGAAACTGATTGGCAGCTGAACATACTGGAGGGGTTTGAGGGACTGACTATTGTTGACTCCATCATAGCTTGTGGCCAAGAACAACAGATTTTGAGAACGGATAAGATCACGGTGGAAATCTCTGATTTGATGATCGATAGAGGTAGATGGACCTCAAAGAGGGCAGTCTGTAACTCTCTGGCAAAACTTTTATCAAAGAGACCATCAGATGTCGGAGTGAAGGCCGTAACTTGGTTACGTAGAGACTATCAGTCATATGATCACTCTACTTGTCTTTTAATAACACCTGAAGACAACTTATAGCCTGGTGAGCTTTTAGCGATTTGATCTCACTTTAAAAAGTGTGGTATTACCATCAGGAAGGTACTTGTGGATCCCTATGTTTGCCCCCTTGTCAACAGGTTGGAACCATATCACCATGTACCATCTGGTTCCAATGATAAATCCACAAATGGTTCCCCAGTTAGGACCCTTCTGGAGTGTTTCAGTTCGAAACTCCATCCATATCAGCTGCCCCTCCCCAATCGGCCACACTCTCCCGCCCAAGGACACTCCCTCTTTTTAGCCCCCTCAGTTCCCTTGATAATTCCCTTTCTCTGACAACATCAGAAACATCTGCTCACGACTCCCAGAGTAGCCCACGATCGAGCCCCCATCCTGCCGAGAGCTGACTAGCCAAGGAGGTTAACTCCCAGGGAGAGGGAGGGGTTCCGGAAGAGGTTATCAACATTCAGGTTGTGTGGGTGAGGAGATTCGCAGGTCACAAATTTGCCAGGGAGAAGCGCAATCGAGTTCTTGCGACCCTGGAGAAGGTAGGTTGTGGTAGACTCCATGGCAGTCCCTCCGGACTTAAGGTCCTGCTGGTAAACGCCAGGTCCGTCAATGGTAAGACCGCTGCCATCCAGGATTTGATCATGGATGAGTGAGCTGACCTGGCCTGCATCACTGAGACCTGGCTGGATGAGCTGGGTGGGGTAAATCTCACCCAACTGTGCCCTCCTGGTTTCGGGGTGCACCAGCAGGCTATGTCTGGCGGGCGGGGAGGAGGGGGTCTCAATAGTCTTTCGGCAGTCCATCGCCGTAGTCAGATACACTGTTCCGCAATCATCTGGGTTCGAGTGTATTCACCTGAGGGTGGGGAAACGTGATCGCTTGGGGTTTCTGCTGGTGTACCGCCCACCCCGCAACTCAGCAGTCTCCCTGCCTGAGCTAGCAGATTTGGTCTCTAATTCGGCCCTGGTCTCCCGGCACTTGATTGTGCTGGGAGACTTTAACATCCACGCTGAGACCTCTTTAACAGGAGCAGCTCGGGACTTCATGGCCGCCATGATGACCATGGGGCTCTCACAAATTATATCTGGACCCACCCATCAGGCTGGACATACACTCGACCTAGTTTTTGTAGCGGACAGTGGAACAGTCAGAGTGGAAGAACAAAACATCCTTCCATTGTCATGGTCTGACCATCATCTGATCAGTTTTAGGCTATTTGTGACCTCTAACCTTCCCAGGGGTGGAGGATCAATTAAGATGGTCCACCCCAGGAGACTGATAGATCCGGATGGATTCCTGAAGAATCTTGGGGCTCTTCCTGCCATGGAACCTGGCGATTCTGTTGACACCTTGGTTGATCACTATAACAGTGAGATGACCACGGCAATAGACATGATTGCTCCCGAGGTTCACCGAGGAGCTGGCTGTGATGAAACACACGAGAAGGGGGCTAGAGTGCATATGGAGGAAATCTCGAGACGCATCTGACCAAGCACGGGCTAAAGCCTCTCTTAGGGCTTATACCGTGGCTATACGTGTAGCCAGGGAGTCTTTCATGACTGCCCGTATAGTGGGCAGTCATGAAAGTGTACTTTATAGTGTCTGTATCCAATAGATCATCGGAGCTGTTTCGGGTTGTCGGGGAGCTCCTTCACCCACCTGTGGTGGAGGAGACCTTTGATGACCCAACAACTCGGTATTGCGAGTTTGCACACCATTTTGCAGGCAAAGTTGCTCAGATACACCTTGAGGTGGACTCCAATTTTATCACAGTGCCAGGGGAGGTGACTGCTTGTCCAATTTTGTGGGATTCTTTTAGGCTTGTTCTTCCTGAGACAGTGGAGGAAATCCTTGGTGCTGTGAGGTCAACCATGTCCGCTTTAGACCCTTGCCCGTCTTGGCTTATTAAATTGGCCAGGGATGGGTTGACTGATTGGTTTGTGTTGATCGTTAATGCATAATTGGAGCAGGGGGGGTTTCCATCTCAATTCCATGGGATAACGGCTAACAGAAAATCCATCTCCAACACCTCATGAATTTCTTTACTAGTTTATAAACTACTGTAAACTGTTGTCTTCAATACCTCAAGAGACTTCAAGCAAATAATACGATTTTTTTCTTTTAAAAATTAAAACAGTTTCCACAGTTCCAAAGCTGCAAAATGTGGAATGGACCTAGCAGCAGCTGGACCGTGAAAATTCTTATCAAATTGGACCCTTTAATAAAATGTTTTCAATTTGATTATTTTTGTGTAAATTGTATCTTTAATGTACCGTTTCAATTATATTAAACAAAAACGCGGCACCAGAGTGATGACCAATAGGGCTGTCCAAACACGGAAAAAATAGTTTCTAAACTCGATTCATTTTTAGGGATTTTTTGCATTTCGTTATTTAAAAGAATTCCGAAATTTTCCTTAAAAAAAGTTCGATATTTACGAAATTTCGGAAATCATAAAACAATTACGAAACAATTACGAATCGATT